AGCTGTATCCGTATCTGTAACTGTGATGGGCGTATAAACATTACAACTGCGGTTCATTGACATTGAATGGGTGGGAGTTGGAGTTGGAGTTGGCAGTTGTGTATAAAATAGACTTAGCTGGCTAAACTTGAGCCCGACTTATGCTCCTCTTCCTCCTGGTAAACCCAAACTGCATGCACAACTGCGTTTTTTTTAATTGTGCCTTGGAATAAAAGGCGCACTCAACTGCTGCACTTGTTGTCTTCAAATGCAGAACATAATGGGCCCCAGCTACTTTTAGCATAGGAATATATGAAAAGGATGGCTGGCATGCTCACGCGTAATTTCTACGAATCCATAAGAGACACATACACACATAGAAAGGGACACCGGGACTGAAGACAATGCCTAGGAGCCTAGGAGCAATGGAACCTACTCGGAACCTTGAGGGTTGCATGACCTATATCACAGATTAGGGAACTGCTGGAATCGAGGATGACTTTCCCATGGCAGCGGCACGTCTTGGCTTCGGTCCATGTGACAAATGCCTCGCATCGTTGCCCCCCGACAACTGCGGCAATTACCTGGCCATCCCGTTCCCAGTTCCCGGTTCCCGGTTCTCCTTTTGCCGTCACAGCTCAGTTGGCTGCATTGCGTCTTGCTGAGCTTGGAAACAAAAAAATAAGGCAAAGATATAGATACAGATACAGAAACAGCTACAGATACAGATACAACTACAAAACACACATCCAGAGAATGCGCCCCCCGGCTGGGTGAGAAAAAAGTCGGAGTGGAGGGCAGGACAAGTGCTTCTAGTTGCCCGGCAGGATGTCCTGACTTTATGGCCCCTTGCTCGCCCCCCGGCGGGTGGTTCTTCTGGAACTCCTTCCTCGAGGTCCTGGCATTCTCTTGAATCCTCAGAGCTGTGCAACTGATGCGTTCATCATGTTGCTCCTGATCACTCAATTAGAGCTGTTCCGTAATTATATGGAAATCAGTTCGAATTTAGATGCATGGCAAAAATCGAGGGTTGAATTTACAACTCAATTAGAGTTAAAAAAGGAAGGAAGTGTCATATAGCAAAAGGGAGTTTCATTCCCAGACGCTAAGTGAGTCCTGCCGAGATGCTAATTGTTGGTTTGATTGCTCCTGAGAATAGGTTTTCAGTTGGAAATTAAATTTATTGATAAAAGGGAAGTTCTAGATGTCATTTAAAAAGGAATTAGTAATAAAGTTATTTAATTGATGTAGAATAGTAATTAAAAACCCTTTAATCAAAAGCAAATCATATCTGAATATTTTCTTAAAATTAAGTTCAATTCGCACATTGATTAACCTGTTGAAAAATTACACTTAATATCTTTTCAAGTTGAAATAAATGTTTTTTAGGCTTAGATTGATTTCCAACCGTTTCCTTAATCCTTTATACAATTATCAAGGGTATACAAACTTCAACTACCCAAAGTATACCTTTCTTTCTTATATAATATAGTGACGCACACATTGTTTACTATTATCTCCCGAAATACGCACTTTTATAAACAAAATAAGCAAAAATACGCATATTTAGAGGTTTTAAAATGAGACTCTTATCAGTACTAGTTTTCAAGGTTTGCATACGTCACAACTAAAGGCTGATAATCCATTAAAGACACTGTTATTCCCACTTAAACGTAAGCATTAAAAAGTAATTACAAGCTGTCTGGAAGTAATTTGAAAAAAATTACCTTTGCAATTTACTCATAAAAAAGTACAGAAAAATAACAAACAAACTAGATACGTCACACACAGTGTGTCGACCCAATATTTCCTATATAATTAAAGACAATCCACTTAAATCACAGCCCCATAAAGTTGAGCATAACTCTGGGGCTCGATCGTTGGATTCTTTGGGGCCAACTTCTAGCTAAGGTCAGTCTGCATCCATTAATAATGCATACATGGAAACATATATGCATAGTAACTAAACCCCAAAAGATACAAAAATGCCCTCAGCTGGGCGGAGAATCAAAAAATACACCGCTCAAGATCAAATTTAAGCCGATTTATTAGTGTCAGAAGCTAGATGGGAGGGAAGGTGAAATACCTAAGCCGAAATCTGAAAAATTAATAAACTATGTAAGAAATCTGTAGCTGCATTATGCAAAGCACCACGATCTCGGGTAGTCAGTGAAAAATTAAGCTGCTTTATCAGCATCAGAGCTTCAGAGCATCACCCGCATTCGGAAAAAAGAGGCCCCAAAAAAGAAGACCAGAAACCAAATACCAAAACACCACAAACTAAAGACTAAAGACTCCAACTGGCCGTGGACTCATTAATTTAACTTTTGTTCAGAGGCGGGGGGACAGACACACAGTAGTCGGCATTGAAGACACAAAGCCCAGAATGCCTAAATGGCTCATTAGGGTCTTAAATTAAAGCTACTTGGCTACAAGTCGGTCAACTAAGCCGACGTCCAAAAGAAAGGAAAAGAAAGCGGCGCGAAGACAAGACCACAATGTATAAAGAAAGAGTCCCGCAGAACTACCGAACTACCCTGGGATAGTGAGGTAGAAGACATCCAAAGGCGGGCCAAGACCTTAAAGTCTGCTTAATTAAATTGCCATTGTCTCTTCTCACGGTCCCTGACAGTTGATTGCAAAAGAACCGCATACCTGGCATAAGTAGAGGTGGGTTTAGGGATATGTGTGGTATATGGGTCTGGGTCTGGATCTAGGGGTTAGCCACCAGTTAACCAGAGAATGCCCCGCCCCGAATGAACTGCAAAATATCGTCATCTAGCTAATCTCGTCTCTTGTGAGTTTGCAACCTCTCTGCTGATTCATTTCCTCGACAAGATTAGCCCATCTTGATAAGGATTGCTCACTTATGGGCTAGTGGTTCCCTACTTCTTCAATGAGCTCATCCCGTATCCGAAGACTATAGACAACCCTTTTATGAAATTGCAACGAGACTCATCTTCTTCTCTTGTTGAAAAGGCAATTTCTTGATCGAATATTTTTCTTCATCTTTGGATGCTGATCTTATCCCCGCTTGTTGTGAGTGCTTGTATTTATGTGATTTTTATCGAAGAGGGATTTGGGATGGGATCGTGGATGGGATGGGAGTCTCTTTATGAGTAATTATTAGGGGAGGCCTCTAGAATTTTTAGTTGATTTATTGGGCAGGGAAATGCTTTAAAATTGTATTATTTTACAAGAGATTCTAACAATATGTTGGCAGAGTTATAGAGGCTTAATTCGATGTAATTTTGGATTATTTTTGATAAACGAAAGAGGGGTTTTCTTGAGGCAATTAATATTTATACATAATAAATAAATAAATTGAGCAAGTTTGATACCTAAAGAGAGATTTCTTAAGGCAAATATTATATATACATAATTAAATATTAAAAGTAAATATTAAACAGAACAATTACTACATTATGTGCTTAGTATTTCATATTTATATCCCTTGTTATTCCCCTGAATCATTTCTAACACGAACAAATCTATAATTTTCTTAAGGCAAATAATATTTATACATAACGAAATATTAAAAGTAAATACTATACACAACAATTACTTAGTATTTCATATTTCTATTCCTTGGTATTCCCCTAAATCATGTCTAACCCGAACAAATCTATAATTTTTCTCTGGGAATGAATCCGTGTTCTCCTGACAGCCTAAAAGGGATAATCCTGTTGGCAACTTCATCTTTGCCTTGAGATTATGTCATACCCAGCTCTGCCCCTCTTTGATCGCAAGGATAATCTTCTCTCTTCCTCTTTATCCTTGTCTCTTCTTGTCTCTTTTTATACAAGAATCCTCCAATTACACACACATCAATCCCATAAATGGTCAACTATTGGAACCTTACTGCCATAGCCAATCCCCATTTATACAGCGCTATTCCCTTGTCTTGGGATCCTAACCTAAACCCTACCTGTGCCTGCCTATCGCCAAAAAGTGATCAACCCAAAGCCAGGTGATCAGCGCATCGCCCACAAAATTGCTGCCCGAAATAAGATATCTGCACGTAGCTGTAATTTAAAACTTTGCCAGACCAAAAGGGAAAAAAATAACATGAGAAGAAATTGAGGAAGAATAAGAGAGGGGCCTTTGGGCGGGAGCTGGGCAAGAACAACAACAATAACAGAAACACATTATATCCTACAGCAATAATTTCTCTTCCCCCCCAAAAAAAAGAACAACAAAGAAAAGTAAGAAGAACCAAGAGTGGTACATACACGGAGAGAAGAGAAAGTGACTTGAAGAAATCAATAAAAAGAATTACTGAAACTTGTAGGAAATAGATAACTACCTCTATTTAGAAGTTATTTTTAATGGAAGATATTTTATTTAAGGAAGGAAGTTGGTATATTCTAGTTATTCACATATATGAAGCCTATAGGCACACGTTAACCTATAGATACTTCTATAATTTTGTATATAATTAACTTTATAATTTATTTTTTAATGAAAATATTTATAAAATCAATTACTTTTTAAGTTTTATGACTGATTTTAGATCCAAAATGATCTAATATCTTATAGTTTCCATTTTCTGTGAGTGCAAGCAACTGAAGATATGTCATTTGCTTGGCTCACAGACCGATCCGTAATCGAAGAAGGAGAGTGAGTGTAGAAGAAGGAGAAGAAGAAGAGTCAGCAGAAGAAAAGACCGACTGAGAAATGAAGATCGATGCTGCTCCTTCTTCTTCTCCTTTCCTCCTTCTCCCTCCTTACCATTCCCATGTACCTCTCTCGCTTCCTTGGGCAACATGTGCGCCGCTTTGTAACGCCAATTATGGTACCCATAATTCGACGGCATTGTCTGTGCGAGCGCACAAAAGATACGCTCCGGAGAATTACAAGATCGTTTTCATGGCAAGAGAACGTTCTCAGCGATGCGTGGCGGAGCTGTAAAAAGAGCAGGCAGCATGAGTGAGGGAGTGATCTTGGCCAGGTAGCCCAGGTTTCAGCTCTCACTCGCTCTGCCTCTCACTCTCTGTTTCTCTCTCAGACTCTCTTGAGTGGAATGACTCTGAGCTGGCAATGCTGCTCGGATCGTTACCCGGATCAGAAATCAGTATTTCGTGTTCAGTTTGTTTGTGGACTTAGAGCTAGCCGAACGTGTTTCTGCTCTGTAAAGAAAGAAAGAAAGAAACGAGGAAAACGAGATTAAGAACGATCCGCAAGATACAGTGAAAGTGTGCCGACACAGATACGGATACCTGGAGAGATAGCTATCTTACAAGAGCGACATAACATCTATAAAAGCCAACCATGGAGGGCCTGCCGCGTGCATTAAACTACGAACTGTCGCACGATCTGCATTTTGATCATTACGCCGGCGCCGCCGCCCAACAGATCCTCACCAGTGGACGCAGTTCACCCGTTGTAGAGGCCTCATCCACACCCACAATCAGCACGCTAGACGCACTGGCCAATAGTGACTTTCTTAAGCAAATTGGAGCTCAGATTCTAAGCTCCATTCAACTGAAACATCATCTGCCTGCTAGAAACATCTCCAGCTCCAGCTCACGGAACGCGGAAGAGATCATGGATTTTGATCTGGCCAATCGTGTGGTGCTGGACAGCAGTAGTGTGGATCAATTGCAGCAACAGTTGGAGTATGACAAATTCATGAATGAAGTATGGATTGGCATCGTCTTTACCCTCATCCTCATCTCCATGGTTTTCTGCATTTGCTCCTGCTTCCTGTACCATCAGTTCCGAACCTGGAAACGTAATTGTAAGTATTTCGCATTTAAAGAACTTGAAGTGCTAATTGAGATTGAAATCTTATCGAGTGTTTTGTCCGATTAGCCAAAAATAATATCAACAGCAATACATATAGGCAAAAATTCCACAGTTTTTATTGGTGGAGGTCTCTCATCATAAAACATTTAATGCTGGAAATTAGGTTAGCAGGTATATAGGAAATACTCCATTAGAAGTGGAAATCTTTTTATGCGTCTTATCCAGTACTTAAGTGCTTCTCCGTCATCATTGGCTAGTGACTCACTTCATATCTGGCTACAATCTCATTTATATATCCTCTGTCCGATGTCGTAAAAACTAATGTATTTCGTCAGTTCAGAAGTTCAAAAACAAACTCTAAATCTCTGTTTGTAAATTGTGAGTAGCCTTGAAGAAATTAGCACATTGTCAGCAAGTGAAAAAATATATAAATAAATAAATGCGAAAAGTGAAATTCAACTACCTTCAATTCGAAAGTGGTGCCAAGGCAATTACGCCAGAGAAAATATTTCAGCGAGTTAATGACAGTGAAAAGTAAGGGAAACAATATTTGCAACTAGGTCGAGGTCTCTGCATTAATCTCCAAGCACTTCCCTCTCCATCTTCACTCCAAATGTAACTTGTAACTAATCAACAATTATTATTCTTTGTTCTTTGGAAGATCGCAACAATGCAAATGGCTCGGCGCAGTGCACCATAGTGGATATTGAGGCATTGAAGCTGCATCCGGAGGCCGAGGATCCGGTGCCGGAGTACACTCTAGTATCGGGATTACCCAGCTACGAAGCAGCCCTCGAATTGCTGCAAAAGTCACCGCAGTCATCGTGCCTGATTGTCTATCCAAGTGTGTTCAATGTGTTCAATAAGCAGGAAAGGAGCAGCAGCAATAACATCCAAGAGTTGTCTGCTCAGTCTCCTCCAACCGTTGAGAGCTTGGTTAGCCAGCAAACACCTTCTCCACAGTTGTGTGAGGTCACAATGCCGCTGCTGCCAGCCACTCCAGCAACTGCAACATCAGCAACATCAGCAACAGCAACAGCAGCAGCAACAGTCGCAGCAACATCGCCCACGTGCGAGACTAAACCCAACTTTGTGTTGATGCCAATTGTGCCCAGTTACGCGGAGGTATTTGGCAGCTCCTACAAAACAGTTGATGAGAAAAAGAAAGCCAAGGCGAAAGATGGCCAGCTGAAAGATGATGTCAAGCGGTGAAGCCCACCCACCATCTCATGGATACACGAGCCCAACTGTGATATTTTCGTTTATTCATGCTGGCAAGATACATGCATTAAACTAAGCGCTGTGATTATCAAAAGACGTTACTAATAATCGACAAACAAATTGTACTTAATGGTAACACTGATTCCCATATTGTCATTAGAGTTAAGTAGGCCACACATAAATTATATATGAATTTAAACAAAACTAAAATGAGTCTTTAACTATCGCTGCTATTCGCTCCATCTGTCGCACTTGCATTGATTATTATTTTGCCATCAATCAGTTGGCATTCAAATTGATTCATTGATGCTGCAGCAAGTGATTTGATTGACGCCACGAACAGATGGCATACAAATCCTTTTGCCACGGGACTTGCCCCACGTTTCTTGTTGAGCTTTACAAATAGCTCCCACTCCCTCCCTTTGGCACAAACAATCCAAAGGATTGAGATAGTTGCCCGGGATAGATACAGATAGATGGACAGATAGAGACAGTTCGATTTGACATTGAGCTGGGGACGTGATAGCTTATTCTATTGCCATCGAGCAACATTTGTGCAATTGTAATTTCGCCAAGATAGGTATGCAAATCGTTTCGCTTCTCGGATTAGTATTGAAACTTGGTACTGGAAGACAATAGACATAATAAATGATCTTGAACCCGGTCTTCCTAGCATCGCTGGACGTGACTCTACTCCCGTGCCGGAAAACGTGTATCGTCTACGGATTGTGGTAGGTCTCGACATCTGAGAGTTTTTCCAACTTTTCGCCGCTTTTCCCCACGTGCAAAACTTTATATTTTATTTATTTTTTTTTTTTGCATTCCATCTCAGCTAAGATAGCAAGCTGATTAATCTGAACAAACGACTGCCAGTAAGTTACTATCTACGCTATCGACATCAGAAATGCAATGCAATGAATTCTATGGAAATTTATATATGGCATTGCAATGGATTTGTCGCTCTTTTGCCGCCATGTGACTGTTTGTTGTTGTTGTTTTTTTTTATTTTTTTTATCACAATAATAATGTATTATCAAACGGGCCGGGCTGTATTTATAGATACTGCCGGTTGCAATGGCCGTTTCCGTACTTCGTTATTATTATTATTATTATTACCATTTGAATGGGTAAACAAATCACCGACAACTAACTAGAAATCCACATGGGAGAGTGCGAATAAATTGCATTTATGCGACCGCAATAAATGTTATTTATCTTACGACCAGCGATCGCTGGTGATCCGTGATCCGTGATCCGTGACTGGAAGAGAGTGTGAAATGGGTGCAGAATTGCATATGACAGTAGTCACGGTTACAGGGAATAACCTCTTGGCTAAAAGCATTTGCATATCGGTGGGAATAGTGAACTTCACTCAGGTGGCAGGAGTGAGGGGAGGCTTATGCAAAACAATAATTATTAATTGCAATTGCTTGGGTGATTTACAATCGCTTTTAGTTTATTTGACAGTTTATGACATATTCACCCGATGCGACGCCTAACTAACTTAGCCTCATGTCTGGAATCTATAAATATTTAAACAAAAGCCTCGTGCTCTCTCTCAGTCGCTTTCCCAAGCGTCCGAATGATCTATGGATTTTATCCTCTTGGCCAAAACACAACACGCCCACCAATTTGTCGGTTTGCCAGTTTGCCAGTTTGCTTGTTAGCCGCAATGTGTGCAAATTGTTTCATTAGCCGATTCTGGACGAACGGCTAAAACAATGCCAAAAAAATTCCAACCTGAAACGCGTGGTCACTCGCTTAGGTAATCCCCTCACGTTCCATTTTCATATCGAAAGCACGGCCAGAAAAGAAAACTAAAAGTGGCCAAAAAGAAACGTTCCATATTACGTTTTAAATTAAAACTTAGACTACGGCTTGAAAACAGCAAACTTAATTACAGAGTTCTACAAAGTATTGCGTTATTTGTTTTAAAACAAAGTGCAATAAAATGAATAACATATTGCTTGAATATTTAACCCTGTTAATAAGCTCTTTAAAATTTCATTAATTCATTTATTTCAAGCCCCTAATCAACAATATATTTTTTTAAATATTAATAAATTCATAATAAATCAAGATAATGTGAAGTTTACTAGCTTCAACAACATAATAAACAAAGTCAATAAATAATTTCTAGGCCATAAAAAACGTAATTGCCAGTGACAGGTTTAATAGTAAAGTTTTATGGAAATATATATATATCGATTAAACATATTTAACAAATAAATAAGTGTATTAATAAAATACTTTGAAAGGCAACTAATACGATTAAAATTCCTTAATAAATATTCAGCTTCTACAACTTAATTTTTATTGAATTCATTTCAATATTCATAGCACCAGACTAAATTATTTATGATCTATATTAAAACATATAGAAATTCAGTTTTTTTCTAACTCGTAGTGATACGTATAAATAAATAATTTATGATCTATTTAAAAGCGAATTGAAATGCAGTTTTTCTCTGACTTGGAATTCCCCCGAGAACACTCAATGCGTATTACGGAGGCGCCTTAAAAGTGCCATATAATTTCATTGCCATTATGCCATTATTTCAAACAAATAATAGTTCCAGTGCACACCTGTAATTGCTGCTAATGAGTTTTTAGTATGGACTTTTATGTTACGCATGCTAATTACCAGATGTAATGGGTTAAAGCCCCGATTGATTATGAAAGAAAATTGCCAATGATTCCCCTTTTTGTTTATGCTTTCACCTTGGCAGGTCCAAAGCATATACATTTTTTTTACTTTTATATATATTTTTATATGCATTTTTATTTGCATTTTTATTTCCATTACCATTTGCATTGCCCGCTTTAACAGTCACGAAAACATGTGTATATCGCCACACACCGGTCACATCACATCAAAATATTATACAACATAAACAACATAATTAGCTCGAACTCTGTCGACTTCTTCGAGAAAGCGCAACCAAAAGGGCAATTTATTAAAAGCCCATCCATTGGATTCGGATGCAGATGCAGATGCAAATGCTGTAGATACATCTGCATATCCATTTGGTGAAAGTTGCAGGTTGCCGGGGCAGAAGGCCTAACCCCGAGCTAATGAAGCGGACAATTTATTAATAAAATGCACATTAGCCCACGTTTTACTCGCTCGCTGACTTGGCTGAATGAATTTTCAATTAAGCGCCAAAAAAAAGCAGAAAAAAAGCCCCAAAAAATCGTGGCTCAAACTGGAGGCTGCTGTTGTATCTGGAAGATACTCGGATATACTCAGACGAAACGCCGCCGATGTTTGAAAGCGAAACCGGTTGGCCAACAGGCCGCCGGCTCTAAAAGCAGCGTCATACGCAACATTTGACCCACTTTTTTTGTTGTGCAGGCGGCTTAAACCCAATACCAAAAAAACAAAAGGCTAAATTAAAAATTGGCAAGCCCCGAACGGTTCGAAAACGGTCACCAAAATGTGAACAATTTTGTCTGTTCCTATAAATATTTTTTATGGGGTCAACACGTTTGGTCAAACCAGGCGCGTTGTAAAAACTACATATATTACACAAACAAGCCATAATATTTAAATTGGTTTTTAGCCTCGAGAAAACAAAAATAAACATAAAAAATACTACAACAATTGTGTAAACAGCCCTGAGTCAATATTTAAATTTTCAGTTAAACCCCACAATGACCTAAAATTTATTGAAAATGAAACTTATTTAAATATTAAGAGCTACTTTCAAGGTGGATTACCAGGGATTATAGCTTTGTTGAGTGTTTACCTTTGCTCTTCCCGAGATTCTTATTAAAAGTCACACACTACCTGAAATCTATTTACCTGCCGTGTCAGTTTCTGAGCTTTTTATTTACTTATTTATTATTATTTTTCGTTAAATGTCATGCGTTAAATTCCCTTTTAGACTTTGCGCAAACATCAACGCTAAACGTATGCTGTGCGTTATTTACCCGGCTTTTATTTTAACTCAAAGGTGAATGAAAGGTTTGAAAACAGCACTGAGAATAAATAAAGAATGCACACACAACTTGGCAATAAATAAAAAGGCAGCAAAAAGCAGCAGCAGCCTCTGCCAAGGCGAGGATTTTGCAATTTGATGTGTTTGCTATTGTAAATGGCAAGCGAGAATGCGGCGCTTGTGAAAATATTTGCTCATAAAGTGTTTTCCATATATGTAGATATATATATATAGATATATATATAGTGAAGTGTAGTAAAAGCTCTTGCGACAAATTAAAAGCTTTTTATAGATAAATTATCTATGTCGGAGCTCTGGGCGCCTGGTATGCAGAAAACCATGAAAAGATATAAATTGGGAGGCTGCCACACATTACCCACCTTTCAAGGCAAAAAAAAATATATATATATTTATATCTACAAAATACAAATTCAATTTTCCGTTCAAGAAAATTGTTAGAATTTTGTGATTGGAATTCAATAAAGAATAACAATAAATTGATTGTGGCTTGGGCTTGGCTTCGAGAGCCGCATGAAAAGGCAATTTAAGATTAGGTCAAGCATGGAATGCGAATTAGTAACTGACAAAACCTATTCTCCTGAGGTTAAATCGGAAAATTCAGCAAAAAAGAAATATATAAAAATATCTCAAGTGGGAGCTTTATGCTAAAATCCAAGCCAAGTATTTACCTCGAAACAAAAGCAAAAGCAAAACGAAATCAAAATTAAATTCTATCTTCATAAAAAAATGTATATGTAAACAAAAGTTGAAGGAGCTCTATTCTGAGAAGCCGAAGGAAAACAAATAAAAATGCAAATAAAAGTTGTATGATTCAAAGTTATGGGCATGCTGCAAGATAGTCTGGAACCCGGCTCATAAAACCCCAGCGGGGAAAACTACGACCAAAAGAACGAGTTAACTGCGATGAGCTAACTGTTACTATCTTGGACAGGAACATCAAAGTGCAGCAGTTGGGGGATTGGATTGGATTTGGGACTGGGACTGGGTTCGGGATTTTGGGATTGAAGGTGTGCAGAGAGAAAAATGTATTATGAAATAAATATAAGAAAAATCAATCAGGCATTATGAATATTATTTAAAACTGATAGAACTCAATATTAAATGCTCACAAAGTAAAGAAAGTCAGGGAAGATATTAAAAACTTATTATTAAACTTAGAATAGGTGTTCTTGTACTTCTTAACTTATTTTCAAATGCTCACAAGTTAAAGAAAACAAGACAAGAGGTTTATAAACCCTAGTATGATTTTTCCCAGTGTGTTTATTTAACTGAAACTCGGATTGGGAGCTCGAGCAGCAGCCAGGCACAGCGGTTACAGAGATGCAGATGGAGATGCAGACGCAGATACAGATACAGATACAGATACATCCAGAGATGCGGATACATATAAAAGTGGGTTGCTGCAGGTTTGTTTTTCCTGATAAGCTCGCGCCACGAGATTAGCCTGTTTTTTCCCCACCAAACACAATTTGTTTTTCTTTTTTGTCTGTTCTGCGTATTTGGCTGCGGTTTAATTTTATGGGCCAAAGGTTTTTATTTTGTAACTTAATGTTTGTTTGGCCTGGCAGAGATTTCGAAGCAGCAGCAGGTTGTTGTAACCATTTTCTTAAACAGAAATGCAGTAAAACCGAGGGAGAGACATTTACATTTTATAACCCTCTCTTTTAGGGATTACAGTCTAATTTAATTGTGGCTATTTAGTAGAAAGGGTATAAACGTTTTGCCAAATGATTTGTTTGTTTAAATTATTAGCCTTAGCTAATCACCGCTGTGTCATTACTCAATGGCAATTAGAGAGAGATAATCTTATCAAAACTATGCTTTTGGCAGCTAACCAATCGTGTAATTACACTTAATTTGCAAATATATTTTAATTAACTAATCAAAGCAAACCATTCACTAATTTAGCTTTGTTTTGCTGCAAAATTAAGCCAACGACCGCTGAATCAAGATTATTTTTTTTGAGCACAAGAAAAAAAAAAATTAATTAAACTAACTTTGTCACGCCGGAGTTTGTATACCCTTTCGATCACTAGAAACTAAAAGAAAATTAATTATATGTATTTATGTTAAAAAATAATAATGTATAGCCTGGTTTCCTATATTTTTAACGATCGTTTATATGGAAGCTATATGATATAGTACTCCGATTTTCATAAAATTTTACACAAAAGTTTTGGTTAATATAAAATGGCTTCATATCATTTGGTTATATATAATTTGGCTATAATTAAGAGGCTATATATATTTTGTGAAAATCTGTTGAAAACTGGAAACGTTATAATTTTATTTTTTACATTTTCCGAATGTTCCTATGACAGCTATATATATATATATATGTATACATATAGTCCACCGATTTGGCATGCTTCGATTTATATACTAATAAAATGATATAGAAGAATAACTGCATAGTTTTAATCAAACAGCTTCCTCTTAAATTTGTTCCAAAACACATCCGCACATCTGTGCATATGATTCCCAACTCGTTCCAACATCCCCGGAACGAAGTGACTGCTGCCGGCCACGTCTCAGAAATGTGTTGTGTTACAAAAGTTGCAAGTCATTGTTTATTAGTGTTCAAAGTGAGTAACTGATCATACATACTTACTGGTGATAGATACTTACTGATCATAGTTACTTAATGTTCATAGATACGTACTGTTCAGAGTTACTTAATGCTTATTGATATTAACTGATCAGAGTTACTTACTGATCAGAGTTAAATTAAATATCAGCTCGCTGCTCCTCTCTGCCTCTCCCCCTCTCTCGCTATGTTAGTCGCTTTATGTTAATCTCTAGAGGCAACTCCTCTCCCGCCCACTCACACTCACTTTCTCTGCTCCTCTCTTTCCTCGGGTACTATAAATAGAGGTGCTAAGGGCCCGCGCGCCTCAGTCTGTCCTAGGGGTACCTAGTGTTAACATCTCAAGTGATAGTGATAGTGATTACCTTTCGATCACAAAAATATGACGTGGCCAATGCAATACATCTGGATGAACAGGAAGAAGCTCACTTGGATAAAGTCACCCAATCTTGTCCACTACACTGGAAGGAAGTAAACAATGACGTGTTCTTTACTGCGGCATGTCTTAACCATAGCATTTATATTATGTATGAAGAAGCTATTGATGGTATCAGACCTAGGTATAGAATTTAGACTTTGGTCCCCTTTACATACTTACTGATCATAGATACTTACTGTTCAGAGTTACTTAAGTTCATTGATATTAACTGATCAGAGTTACTTACTGATCAGAGTTAAATTAAATATCAGCTCGCTGCTCCTCTCTGCCTCTTCCCCTCTCTCGCTATGTTAGTCGCTTTATGTTAATCTCTAGAGGCAACTCCTCTCCCGCCCACTCACACTCACTTTCTCTGCTCCTCTCTTTCCTCGGGGACTATAAATAGAGGCGCTAAGGGCCCGCGCGCCTCAGTCTGTCCTAGGGGTACCTAGTGTTAACATCTCAAGTGATAGTGATGGTGATTACCTTTCGATCCCCAAAATATGACGTGGCCAATGCAATGCATCTGGATGACCAGGAAGAAGCTCACTTGGATTAAGTCACCCAATCTTGGTCACTACACTGGAGGGAAGTAAACAATGACGTGTCCTTTACTGCGGCATGTCTTAACCATGACATTTATATTATGTATGAAGAAGCTATTGGTGGTATCAGACCTAGGTATAGACTTTATATTTCCTTATTTCTATGGTCACCTTTACATACTTAGATACTTACTCTTATATTTAGATACTTACTGATATAGTTCCTTACTGGCTATAGATACTTACTGATCAGAGTTACTTACTGCTCATAGTTACTTACTGATTATAGTCACTTAATGTTCATTGATACTTACTGTTCAGAGTTACTTACTGCTCTTAGTTACTTACCTCTCATAGTTAATTATTGATCATAGTTCCTTAAATCGTCCGATTGTTCCTATGTCAGGTATATATATGTATATATATAGTCCACCGATTTGGCATTCTCCGATTTATATACTGATTAAATGATATAGAAGAATAACTGCATAGTTTTTTTCAAGTAGTTTCCTCTTAAATTTGTTCCAAAACACATCTCGCACATCGGTGCATATGATTCTCAACTCGTTCTAACATCCCCGGAACGAAGTGACTGCTGCCGACCAAGTCTCAGAAATGTGTTGTGTTACAAAAGTTGCAAGTTGCATTGTTTATTAGTGTTCAAAGTTAGTAACAGATCATACATACATATATACTTACTGTTTATATATGCTTACTGACCATAGTTAATTACTTATTATAGTTACTTAATGTTCATTGGTACGTACTGATCATAGTTACCTACTGTTCATAGATACTTACTGATCGTAGTTAATTACTGATCATAGTTACTTTGTTGATGCTGATCAAGAATATATATGCTTTATATGGTCGGAAATTACTTCTTCACTGCGTTGCAAACTTCTTATTGAAATTATAATACCCTGCAAGGGTATAAAAATAAGAACCGAATTAATGTTTAATTATAGGAACAGTCTAGAGTTGAGATTTTTTGCTTCCTCTCTAATCCCATTGAAAAATCGCTTAACCATAAACAAAAAACACTTCCGCGTGCCAAGCTTGAGTTCACATCGAACCTCAGAGGAAGTAGTGGGTTAATCTAAGCATTGCCTGATAATATGTCTTATCTAAAATTGAATATTCTCCTTTGTTTTTTTTTGGCCTGAAATTCAATTTTAGTTTAGTTGAGAGCCATGACTTCACATAGACGTGTCTATTATGGGCTGTTCTTGGTCTTGATATTGTTTTTGGTGATCACATTGTATTTCAACATAAGCGCCATTGAAAGGAATCCCAAGGAATTGGTTAGAAAATCAGATGTGGATCCCTTGTATCATGACATCAGGATACTTTGCATGATACCCTATGATTATTTCAATCCCAAAACAGCCAAGTATGTGAAACGCACTTGGGGAAAACACTGCAATGTGCTGCTATTTGTGAGTGGTGACATTGACAGTGAACTGGAACCTTATGTGGCTGAGGTAAATGCCACGGAGACCTGGACTTTGGTCCATGAGGGCCTAATGCATGCCTTTCTATTTTATGGCGACAAAGTGGATTGGTTTCTTCGCGTGGAGCCCTCAAGGTGAGATTTTTTGGGGATCGTTTTTCCCATCCTTAGCCCAGATCATAACTTCATTTGAATTGCTCAACGCAAGTCGTAAATTTGACGATGAGTTCTTTGTCATGTCGGCTTTATCGCCTTCATATTGTTATGGTATTTTAAGCATTCGATTGTTGCTTTTACACGGAGAGAAAATAGGAGAGAAGAGGTTGTTAAAATAATAATTTCATTGAGAAGTTGTCTATTGAATAATTTCATAATGGTTTGATGATGTCTTTAGGTATTTTTTTACAAAGCTGTGTGGAATAACATAATGTAAATATAGCATAGCAAATAAGACACTTGTTTTTTACTTATTAGGTAATATTTGCTCTAGATTTTATTTTTAATAATCTTATTTTAATATTATTAATACTATTTCAAGCCCTCAGGAAACTAATTTTTATTTTTAGGGCAGTTTTATACTCAAATATTTCTTTTTTTCTAGGAAGCCAATGATAATTTTCATATTTAATATTTTTTTGTTTATTTTGATTCAATTTCAATCATATGATTTTCCCTCAGTGCATTATTACTTACTCGTGTTGTTTATTTTTATGAGCACCGAGTTCGGTGGCCGCCTCACTCAACATATTTTGACTTCTTTCATTGATAAAGTTATCAGTCAGCCTTCGGCTGTATTTTGTTTGTGCTCTCGAGTTGGGTTTTCTTTTTCTTTTTTTTTTTTTTTGGGCTTGGTCTGGGGATCTGAGTTTGTTTCTTGTCAGATGTGTCCCGGTTCCCGGTTCCCCCATCCCTTTTCCCAGTCGGTTCCGTTCTATTGTGGTTCGATTTTTCCGGGGCTTCCCTTTGTGGTTTTTTTTCTTTGGCCCACGGAGAGAGTTTCCTTTATCGCAGGGCAGGAAAAATGCTGCAAGGAAGTGCGAGTATCTTGTATAGGCGGCAGCAGTTTATCTGTCTTTTGTAGGGGCAACACAATGGATAGTATATGTATATATTCCCTGTGTGTATATATAAGTCGCTTGATTGCTCTCCGGGGAGGTTCTTCATCATAATTGGTACAAATTTTAGGTTGGACAAGAGAAAGGGAAAATTTTCCCATGGTTTTCCGATCATTCCATTAGCATAGTTTGTATTAGATTATGTTGATAACCTGACAAATGAATGTTTGAGAAGAAACCCTAAGCCAATGGACTACCGATTCATTTCCATAGGTTTTCAAATATATATTGTAAATATAAATATATAACCAATCACATATAGAGACATTTATAGACAGGCATCAATCGTAGGAGGCGGGTATCAAAAGTGGGTCAATCAGTTACACTCTGACAATCATCGATTTTGCTCATATAATCGCTTATCAATTTGTTTTGATTTTTTCGCACACTTTTTAAAAGTGCAATTCAATTAAATAAATCGGAGTACTTCTATATAGCTTTTTTATGGCTATATAAATGCCGGAATTTCCTCTTATTGATTAATATAGAGTGTTCACTATCGGGAAAAAGTGCGTGTCTTGGGGTCAATTAAGTGTGCCGGATGGCTGTCAATGGAAATAGTTTTCCCTAATTTATGCTGTCACACATAATTTGGATTTATTGAGTGCGTTGTCAACACCAGCCATTGAATATTACAAAATCGATTGAGAATATTTATTCTCTGCTTAATCGTCGTTGAAATGACTTTGATAACTTGACTTGGCGATAATTAAAAACTTTATGTCTCTCGTAATTATCACTAAAGTTTCACATTTTATGGGACAACTCAAGGAGGATTTTTTTTTTTATTAAATATGAGACTTTTGCCTCTTTTAAATATATAAGTACCATATAGCACCTTAAAGCAATTACCTGATATCAACTCGAAAATGTTTATGTTCTGCCACACATTTTGCTTTGTTTTGTTTTATTTTTTTTTTTTCGATTTTAGCCAACTCTGTTTGCCTCACTCATTTGCGGCTTGAACTTGGACTTTTGTTTACTTGGCGTGTCCACGATTCATTCAAAAACGGATCTTGCCATCTTGTTGACATGGTTTTTTGTGTTGTTTTCTAAATGGCAATTGTTTGCTTTTCGCTTCACGCTTAGTTAGATATATTTTTTTCCTTTAGAGCCAGACCCACACCATCGAATTTGGCCATATAACATTTGTACATATTTGCATTGGGCGTTTGTATGCACAGCGGATCAGTGATGGTTTTTTATTGATATGCACGATTTTGTGACGTGAATGAAGAATGAGAATTATTAAGCAAAAAATAAAAAACACAAAGAGGAAAATTTCGCTTGTTATTGAAGTACTTTCCCATCTACAGCTTTGTGGTTCTAGAGAATCTTCGGTATATGATAGATAAAAGGAAATATATGCCTAGTCAAGCGATCTATTTTGGCTACGAACTTGAGAATATTTATACGCATGAGGTGAGTTTAATAAGTGAGTTTAATTTTTAAGTTTAATAAATGTATTTTAGCCCTTTGTTTATGCCAAAAGTGGCTATGTGATAAGTCGAGAGGCTTTAAGACGCTATACCTTGGCCGCAAAAGAACCCAATAATAGGTATTGCCTTCATCTGGAGGGTTTTACTGAGGGTCTGGAGGTAAATCGTTGTCTCAATCATGTGAATGCCACCATTGTGGATAGTCGAGATGAGTTTGGACATGAGACTTTTCTACCCATTAACATGGATCATCAGTTTTTAGATGGTTATGATCATATCAAATGGCTGCATAACCTAACCTATCACAAAGTAGATGAGGTAATATCTATACTATCAGTCTTAATTATGTATAATAATATATATTTTACAGAAAACCGTTCCCATATCCCTGAGCGCCATAGCCTTTCGTGTGGAATATCCGCCCGAAATGTATGATTACTACTACTTTCTTTATCGCATGAAAGTATTTGGTACTTTTGTGCCACAAACCATAGAATTTGGAACTCAATAAAAGGACTCACCTCCTGGCAGCTGTCTGATGTTTCAATCTGGCTCTGGTTTAGTTCCTAGTAAACCAAAGTAAGAAAAAGTAGGGGGATGGCTGTGTAAACGTGTTCATCAATGAATCTGTCGTCTCAATTTTCCCATTGCCCTTTTTGTCTGAACAAAATTACTTCCGTTTTTCCTCGTTTTTTTCTCTCTTTTGTGAAGTGTCATTGTTGCATCATGTATGGAAGGGCTGAGAAATTTGCACAATATTGCACTTTTGGTCGCTTCCTGTAACCTTAATCATGTGTGTAGGCCTTTCTCGCATTACCTGTTGTGGGAGATGACACAACACAACACACATGTGGTAATTTGAGCACGTAAACTGAGACACAGGTTTACATATACTTTTCACTTGAAATCCATACATGTGATTAAAGAAATTCATAAACACAGGCAGACAGTCTTTTTGCCGGTGATTGAAAAATGTTTGTTTTTTGTTTAGGCCAAAAAAAAGATACAAAATATATCTATGCAAATTTGGGAACGTGTTTGGAACCGAAATTCCAGTGAATGTGTCACAATACACAGCAGCAGCTTAGACTTAATACACTTTGTGAGGTGGACTCTGACCAGTTGGTAATCGATACTCCACTTTAAATTTGTGCAATAACCAAAGACCAGCCCCTTTTCCGGACAACTTTCAAGTTTATTTCCTCTTCGAACTGTTCGTGTCAAGTCCCCGCTGGCAACTGTAAAGTTTTGCATCAACTGGAAAGCCATTATCGTCAATGGAATGGCGGCAAACGTCTTCGATGCCAGGTGGGTTAATAATTCTAATTGAAAAAGGCAATTTGTATGCGGGCGGTGAGCAGAGGGAAACCGAAAAGGTAAAAAGCAGACAAAAGCACTCACCATAATTAAATTGTCGACGAACTGGCCACCCACAAACACAGTATCTTCAATAATTCGCCAGTTTCAAGAAGTGCTTTCGCAATGCCACGACTGTTCAATAAACGAGTAAAGAACAAGTGCAGTCCCTGCAATGGATTATATCTCCTCCTCCTGTGTTGCATATTCCTGTTGATGGTAATGCAATTGCAAAGGGAGAATTTTGAAAAGAACGACATCTTGGTAGCTCCTCCACCGCCAAGGATTGTCTGCATTATTGTGACCTATGACTACCGGCATCAACATGCCGGAATTCATATACTTCGAACGTGGGCCAAGCACTGTGATCATTTTTTATTTGTCAGTGATAATATTGATCACTTTTTGGAGCCAGCAGTATTTCTGAATCTACACAACAGATGGGATAGGATCAGAGCTCACCTGGAGTATGTGCAAGGATATCATAGCCACAAAGGCGACTGGTTTCTCTATGCCAATGATGACAAGTAGGTTTTGTAGGGTTTGAGTTTTTTGTGAATACTGATAAATCTTGATGGTGTTACAAGTTTTGTGGTGGTGGAGAACCTGCGTCAGATGTTGAGTACCTATACCCCTGATGAACTTATTTATTTTGGTTGTAAGCTAAGGACTCCCAATGGTCTGGTAAGTTTAGCAATTTACTCAAAAATTCAATATTAAATATATATTTGCTAGGTCTTTATGCACCAAGGTTCTGGCATAGTCCTTAGTAGAGCTGCCCTCGAGGCCTTTGTCCTTGAAGCTTTGCCCAATAGCAGCATCTGCAGTCCTGTGAGAGTGGACAGTGAGGCCACCGAGGAACTGGGAAGATGTCTTACCAATGTCAATGTCTTGGCCGGCGATAGTCTCGATGAGTGGCGGGGTCATCGCTTTTTGCCCTTCGAGGCTGACTTGCATTTGGGCGGGCAGATGAACAAATCCCAAGATCGTCACAAGTATTACTTGGATCATTCCTATTACCCGGTGTTTGATGTAAGGATTTTTCTAATAACTGATTCCAGATGATCTAATTCCTCTTTTCCAGCTAAGCTTTCCAGTTTCAAGGCAATTCATTTGCTGTCACTTGGAGCACATTATGGACATCTATGACTTGTATTATTTCACTTACAAAGTTCGGATATTTGGAGGACATCAGCAGGTGGAATCTAGATATAAACATGAAGATCTAGAGGGAAAAGTATTTTGGAATAATAAAGTAGCTGAGAGTTAGTAGGTTCTACAGAAGGAATAGCTAAATTTTTACTGGATTTATAAACAGTATTCAAAATCAATCAATTTTTTATTCCTTGAAAATATATTTCCAGAGAAGTTGATACAAACTTAATAAGTAAAAAGAATGCTTAGTTTAAATAAATAAAAAACAAATTAATAGCAAATAGCATCTTAAGAAAACGAGATTCTTCATGCTAAACTATATTTACATTATCCCAAAAGTGTTTCATCCTCTCATTGTTCTCATAACCAAATTTCCAGCGTTGCTTGGGTTGATTTGGATCACAATCCCTCATGGTTAAACCATTCTCCTCCGTCAGTGCTTCCAGACACCTTCTGGCATTTGCCATCTGACCAAAGACAATCTGATGGGTCTTGGTATCCAAGGACCAGAACTGGTTACCCTTTTGCCGATGGCATTGATAGACATGAACATCCATGGACTTGTTTCGCACCTCCAGACACCGAAAGCCAGAGCGCAGTTCCCGACGATTGGAAAGCACCCATTGTTGCTCTGGTTTGCTGGGAAATGTGGGATCTGAGCTGCAGGTACTAAGTTGAGGCCTACTAGGCTTAGTCTCTGTGCGATCCAAGCACAAGTTTGGGGAGGAAATACTCTGTAGAGTGCCAAAGGCATAGTCATCAGGATCTTTAAGGGGATATATTTGTAGAAAGTCCTTTGCCAAGTTGTCCAGAAACCACTTGAAGGGTTTACATTGCAAACGCTTCTTGAGCTCCCGCTGCTCGGCCAGATTGCCCGCTTGAATCACAGTCAAGTGGGGCATATTGGCAAATAGTTTATCCTTGTATTCTTCCAACCAAACCTCGGCCACGCGACGATAGTTCTGAAAGGGTTTTGTTAGGATCTATTAGATCAATCTCTTTGGTTTCCTTGACCCTGACTTACCCTTGATATCAGCTTATCCTCACTGCTCTTGGCCTTGTCGGTGTAGTGCACCTTGAAGCTTCCTTCCCTGTAGAGATGACCAATCCTGGAGCAAGGCACCTCTAGGATCCTACCTCCACATAGCCACAGTTTAAGGCTGAGTTCGAATTGCTCCGCTCCCCAGATTTTCAGACCTTTGTCATAGCCTCCCAGCTCAAAGAACCATTGACGTCCAATGGCAAAGAGACCACCGTTCATGATGGGATTCTGGTGGGGAGTCGGCATGGCCACCATCTCCTCTTTAAGCAGCGGCAGCTGGATGTAATTGAACTCCCAGTCGAAGAAGCCACGCGATGGCTTACCTCTTCTATAGGCCAGATTCTCATAGTCAATGGTATCAATGATGGGTGTAGTGCAGGTTTTATTGTTCTCCAGAATGGGAGCAAGCAGCGGTTCCAGCCAACCCTGGGTGACCTCCACATGGGAGTCTAAAAAGACTAGGACATCGGATTGGGCAAACTCTGCTCCCGTCACTCGAGCCTGCATCAATCCCACCTGCTTCTCCAGTCGATGATGCTTCACCAAATCCTGGAACTTGATCTGCAGGATGTCGTTGAATTTTGGGTCCACCGAGCTGCTTCCATCGTCCACCAGTATGATCTCACGGAGCAGCAGCAATGGAGTCCGACTCTTCAGACTGCTTAGCGTCCGCAGCAAAACGCTCGTCTGCTCGTTGTGATATGTTATCACCACACTCACCGGTGGCAGCTTTTTTGCCGGGTAATTGAGCTTTTTGCAGCTGTCGAGATCGGAAACTATATACTCTTATACTCTTATCTCCCACTCTCTCTTTGGAAGCTTACCTGCGATGCCTCATGTCGTAGAGCGTTCGCTCAGGTGAGATTCGCTCCGAGAGCCAAGCATTGTAACCCGTTTCCCGCTTACTTTGGGCCATGGCCTCCAGCTGCTTAGCTGTCCAATTGCCCCTCGCCGGACGACCCAGAGCTCCGAGATGGGGAATAACCTTTGCCTCGAAAACAGTTTTTATAAGCGATGTTGTAGATGACACAGATTCCAATTGTTCTCGTTCTAGTTTAAGTATATAGAGATAGTAGAAAATACTACCAATAGCGACTAAAAGCAGCACTAGAAGCACCTTCTTCTTATGCATTTTACTTATGTATATCACAGACACAAAAAAAAACAACACAGCCGTCCGAATCAGAGTGTGGCTTAAACCGCGCAGCGTTTTGGCCAAGACTGCGGCTTAAAAGCCAAGAGTTTTAAGAGAGAAAAGCCTGCTACGCCACTAAATTCATCTTATACTATACGAAAGTTTTTAATTTGGTTTTCGGAGACTCAGTAAGGGGATTTAGAAACATTAATTCCTTATATAAAAAAATAATTGAAATAAAGTTTTGTTTGCTTTATTCTGTATAAGACATCAAGATATGATACAATATATTATTTACTGATAGATTGGGTAAAGAATCCTTTTAAAGATTCATATATTTCCAAAAATATCTGCTTCATTTATACCATATTCTTGTAAATAATCTTGCGTCCATCTATCCAATTTATTTATTTGCTCAGGGTTAAGTTCATCCCTGTAAGAACCCACAATGCCGCGTCGCATAAAACTGTGAAAAAAATAAAATAATTATACTATATAATAATTTTAATAATATATATTTTACTTACTTAAAGTCCTCCTTTGCATTGTAAGAATTTTGAATCAATTTCGTAGGGTTGGTATACTTGTTTTCTGGAAGTAATTTATTATAAAAGGTTCCATTAAAAATGTTATATAGACTTGCCTTTCATATTATCAAATGATAAATGTTTAAACAGCGTCTCCATTTCCATTTCATTTAATTTCTTGCAATCCAAAAACTTCGACAGTCTCTCAATAACAACCTTTAGATCTTGTTTCATCTCCTCATAGGTCACAAAAAATACATTAGTTTCGTTACGCATTCGATAAAAGTCAATAATATGTGACCAGTATGATGTAAACGGAATCCGATCTGTGATATATTCATCTATATAATCCTGCAAGTTTCCCTGCCAAAGTCCCAGGCTGGTGAGAAAGTGAAAGGAAGATATTACAACATCCTTGGGATTGCGAGCCACATAGATGATTTTCCGTTTTTGCTCCCAAATTTGTCTCGGCAAAAGTTGTGAGGGAAGGTGGGATTTAATAAAACGAGGATTATCCTGCATCTGATCGCACAAGGAAATATTATCCACTGAAAATTTGTTATTTATACACGAGTATCTGAAAGATTACAAATTCTTTGTAGTTTCAGATTTATAGCTATGATTAATTGATAATTTAAGAAAAGTGGGAAATATCTCTCAATATATAACTTTTTTAAACATTATTAATAATGTGACTTACTCTATGTGTGGACTCCGCCTCACAGTGTGACTTGTTTTGGCTCGTTCATAGTCCAAATTATTTAATAAAAGCCAGGCCAACTCTTGCATCCAAGTTGTACCACTCTTCATAAATGTCACCACATAAACATCACCGTCTTTAGTTTTAAACTCATCAATACGTTTTGCAAACTCTTGATTATACTTTTCGGGAAGAGTACACCATCTTTTGCTCCAATCTTGCTTTAAAGGCAACCAATTGGGACCCAATCCTTTGGATCCTTTATACTGCAATTGAATGAGAGGCATAGTAGCCGAGGACTCTACTTCTTTGCTCAAGAACATGATGGCAACTGATGCTTTAAATGATTTTATTTGTTACATGTTGAGGCACTATGGAGCTGTGTTGATAAGGCTTATCGTTGCTGGATTATTCTCGATTGAAATAGATGAACTTTTACTGATAAAAACAAGGTATATGTTTGTAAATATTTATAGATTACAACGAAAGCAAATAGAAATGTTTATTTTATTATGCCAGAAGGTAGGCTGTAAAAAGCACTTATGTTTAATATATTTTCTTAAAACTATTCTACAACAAAATCCACACAGATCAATCAAAACTAGGTTTAAATAAATAATACAATTATTGTAATAAATATAATATATCTTGTACAAAATAATACATTAAAATTTCGATTCAAAAGATTACCATTATAAAGAGAAATTTCCAATTTCCTTAACTGAATGTCAAATCGTTTTGTACCTCCATTAACTTGGCTTGGAACCGCAGCCACTCTCTCCCTGGCACCTGACACATACGTGCACATTATGCATCCATCATTACTCATGCTATAAACGAAATCCTCTTAATCTTGCAACGAAACATTCAAACATTTATTAAAGACATCTCGTTCCCGGCGAGGGTTTTGTTCCGTGTTTCCCCCATTTTCGAAGAAAATCGAGCAAAAACTGCAACAAAAGGTACAATTTATAGTTCCGAGACACCCTTGGAGGATAGGAAGGCCCAGGCCTACCCCCAAGGACATTGGGTGGGTGGTGAAAATGTAATTGCCGCCGCCCCAAAATTTGGCAAAGACCTTGAAAAGCCCAAAAAGGGGGAGTGCTCCCTGAGTTTTTTGGGGGGCGGACGGACGCCCAAGGAGGTGAGTGATAGAACTTTAAGCTCAAACGCCTGGCCGTATGCAATGAATATTTACGAGTGGGTCCTCTGAGGATTACATTGTCGGGCAGAGCCCAGTCTCCGTGCAATTGTGCGCAAGTAAAAATCTAATTTATCCAACCCACCACCCAGAATCTCGTTTGACAATTGCCTGAAATGATGGCAATACATTGGCATGAGTCCCGGGAATCTAAAGGCACGTAATTCTTCCGGGGGAATTCCCCCACAAACAACAAAAAAAAAAAATCGCTCCGCTTACGCATATCAATGCACCCTTTTTCCAAGGATTCGCCTGGATTTGGGGTGGTTCGTTCAGTGGGTGGTGGTGGGTGGTGCAGGGTGGTTCTCCAATCCTCATCATAACACCACATGTTCTGAAAATTCAGCGGCGACACAGCGTCTACTTCATGTAGATTTCTATCTATTCTATTGTCTGACTTTGGTCGCGTGGTAAATTCATTCGGTATTCATTCCGTTTGATGAGGCGCAAAGTTGTGGAATTTATTGCGTACGGGAAAGAAGTTAAGTGGATTTTACGTAAATTAATGAGAGTTTGCCCAACGAGGGTGGATAGCAAACAAACTCTCGGAGCTATTTAAATTGCTATACAAAGGAACAGTAGGAAGGTGTTGAAGGATGGGTAAAGGAATTCTACCAGACAGGACCTGGGATTGTATTTAGGATCGCTAAACGGATCGTGCTAGGTTCTGCGGGCTCTGGTTATTGCTTCACTGATTTATGCGGCAAATAATAAACATCAAGTGAATGCCGTAAAACATTAAGAGCGCCATCAGTTGGACAGTCTGCTGTCTGTAGTTGTTACTACACAGTGAGAAAATTTAAGGGGTATTTTAGAGATGAAACTGAGGAAATTAAGCATTGTATATAATACATGAAAATATAATAAAATAATATATATTATATATATTATGCAGCTATAATAGAGGAGTTTGTGGCTTTCTCTCACATTTTTTAATAATAGAAAATCTGTTTCATTGTTATAGCTTGGGAAAAGTCTGTATAACTTAATTGGTTATTCATATAACTTTAAAAAAACCTTAAAATATGATTGATTATGATTTTCTTAACAATTTTATTCCATCAATCTCATTCTGAAATTGTAAGAAATATCCTTATACCTTTAATTCAACAACATATCCTGGGATTACTTTCTTTTAAGCTTTCCTTTCACGCAGAAACTTTTCTAATTCCCTAAAAAAAACCCCTGAAATGACCTTAAAACGTTACACATATCCACCTAGATTTATTCTCAGTGCATACCCATCATAGTGGACACTCAAAGCACCCACAATAAATTTCACTTATCAAAGTTTTCGCTAGCCGGCGGAGACCAAAAATCGAGCAAAAGGCAGACGGACCATTCGAAAAGGGAGCGAAGAAAAAGGAAAAGAAACCACGACAACGACTAACTTTATTGCAAGGCCCCGGCAGATACAGATACTCAGTACTGAGAAGGAGGGGAAAATTAAATGTCTTTTGTCAACAGACGTTGCGAAAAGAACACTGGACGGAGGACGGAGGATGGAGGATGGAGGATGCCTTCCATGGCAGGAAGGAGCAAAATGAGAAGCAGCCTGGGCGCGGAGACAAACGCAGGAAAAGAACGGACAATGACGCACTTTTTGGCCAGAAGTTTGCCCACTCTGATATGCATTAAAAGCAGGATCGTTTGGAGGAGAAGGAGGTAGTCGATGGTCCAGTGGTCGATGGTGATGCCATGGCCAACTCCAATGGAGCGCAGAGCAATCTCGCTGTGCAAACTGGCATCATAATGGGCCACTTATCATGGCAATCACTCAGCAGTCAGTCCGGGGAGCTTGTCTCAACACAGGACGAAAATTATCCTAGAAATCTATAAGGTTTTTATAAGGAAAAGGGTCTATATTTTAACCATATTTATAAGAGATTTAAACAAAGATATAAGAAATTAGAGATTAAACAGATGTTTTCACTTGCTCCAGGTAGGAATAAGAAAGTATTATAAATATAGTCATCATTCTTGCTATTTCTTTGACTCAAACATATTTCTTGTATAAATTTTCTATCTGTGTATTGCAACTCTAGCGTTATGGGAATGGACACCCCAGATTCTCGCTCCCAGCTTTGCTTTACTACTTTCCGATACTCAATCGTCGTTCGCCTTTTAATACTTTGGGCAAACACATTAAATGGAAATTTCGTGCAAGGCGACCAACACGGAGATATCCCTTGGAAAAACTGAAGAATAGGATGTCCTGGGGGGTGGTAGAGAGAGAGAGAGAGAAAGCTCTTCAATGGAGGGGTGAGCCTGAGACCCATGCAAAGTGCCGGCATTTTTGGCAAACAGCAAACGCATTTTTCATGTGACATTTGCAAAAAAAAAAAAAAAAAGAAACCGAAAAGGAAAAAGCAAAACAAACTTTCGCCCAAGCCCACTGTTTGATCTCTTCACATTGCAATGCTTTCTGGTTTTTTTTCTTTCGTTCTCTTCTCCATTCCCTTTTTTTTTTTTTGGGAATCCCCCATCTTTTGGTATCCTGGGAAATCCTTGCGTCAATATACCCGAAAAACAGTTTGGACATTTTTTCTCGTTTCGAGTGTTTTATAAATAAAAAGTTCGCTTTTCTCACTCTGCCTGGGGTAGGGAAAAATTTCTGTGTGTTTACTTTGAGAATTGCTGTGATTTTCAGGCCAGTTCCTCGTTACTCGGTTTGCATTCCTTGCGAGAGCGCAGGACGAGCAAAAAAAAAAAAGGATGGGAAAATGTGGAGGAGCTCAAGTGGCGTCTCTTAAGGGGGTTTAAAATTGAATGATTGTTGAATTAGCAGATTAAAATTATACGCCCTGAGGAGAATTTTTTGTCATGATGAGAATTTCAGAGTGTTTGTGGTTGGGATTTGGGGCAATTTTCGAGATCTGTATCAAAGGGATATTATCAAGAAGGTTTTGGGAAATTATTGAAATTATTTGGGGTAGATGAAATATTTTAAAATGATTGTGAAATCCCTAAATTGTTCAAAAGTATATAATTTACTTATTATACCCCTCCAGGGTATTATAATGTTATTCAGAAGCTTGAAAATCAGTGAAGGAATAATTTCCGACCCTATACACTACATATATTCTTGATCAGCATCAACAGGCGAATCTATCGAGCTATATCCCAACAAAATTTCAATTTTTTCAAAATTTTATAAGGGGTTACATCTTTAAAGTTTTCAATATTTTACAAAATTTAATTTAATTATTTTTTAAACTCAAAATAGTATCCAGATTTATTAAGCTTCTAAAAACTAACATAGAAATGCTTTCCGAATTAAAATTAATTAACTTTTGGCTTAGTTAAGAGTTTTTGAAACTTTGATTTTGCTGAAAAAATTGTCATCTAAAAATATCATTAAATTTTTAATACAAAATTGGGAACGTGTAAAACTTATTTATAATTGATTCTTAATTTGATCCTATATGATCATTGTAAACTGTAATGGTGTATTAGCTTTGGCTACCCGAAGTTAGTTTGCCTTACTGTTTATGTAATATTTATATTAAAAGAAAGATTCCATTTTTGTAAAAGAAAATCTTAAAAATTCAATAGAAAATATCTCTAATTTAAAGATAGCATTCATTACACTTTTTAATTATTTCCCTACCGCAGCTGAAGTGTAAAAATAACACTTATAAATTAAAGCAGATCTAATTTTGGATCACAACAAACACTCAAATCAAGTTCAAGTTCTGTATTTATGTAGTTATGTATTTGTATCTGTATCTGTTTAGACATCAGCATCTGGAATTGTACAAGTATCTGCATTTAGATCTGTATTTGTATCTGTATCTGCATCTGTACTGTATCTGGCTGTGTAGATGCTACTCAGGAGCCGTCATTTGGTATCTGAGGATGCCTAATTAATTGTCAAACATTGCGCGCTATGTGACGTTAATAAATGTCAACTAAATGAGCTGCATGTACGGCAACGCAGCGAGGCGAGACGAGACGAACTACTGGATGTGGTTCCAAATCGAAGATGGAGAATAGAAGATGCAGGATGGAGGATGGAGAACTGAGTAACCAGGACTCCCGACTCCGAACAGAGGAGGAGGGAGCGCATCCCTAAGCAGATGCTGATGAGGCAGACTGGGGCTACTTAGTGGCATTG